ATTTTATGTTATGCAACAATCGCGTTCATTAATTAGATTTGTTAATCAAATGTAAATAACGAAAATTGAAAACATAAAATAAAACAATAACACAAGAGAATTGTTATGCAGTTCGGAGCGCTTCTCCTACGTCTGCGGGGAAACCCACGTCTGCCCAATCAACTATAGATGTTCACTAAGGAGTATTACAAGAGGTAACTACAAACGGCTCACAGCATTTACCACTACAACCCTTCCTAACACCTATTCAGGACTGAAACGTGCATGCCATAACAATCTTCACAATAAGCTTCAGCAGTACCAGGTACAGTTCATGTAGCTCAAATTTCACACTCTTAATTAAAACATATAATATAAGCAATTTAATTATATAGCTTTGTAGAGAAGGTTTGTATTCAGAATAGCACTTCAAATCGGCAACCTTCTCATTTGAGTGACTTCCCTTTTATAGCAAAGATTAATCCTTAATCCACACCCTTGATCCTCAAAATAAGCTTCCCTCTTTTCTCTATAAACCATAGCCACATACTTTACATTTGAAGCGTTTCACTGTAATGTTGCTGACTTCCCATTTATTTGTCAAAGCATAATATCCACTCAAATTACCTTTGCATGATAACAAGTGGTCCAAAATAGATTTAAACTAATCTTAATTCTTATTTAAATCTAAAAAAACAACACTAAATAAAATAGTCAAACAAAGGTTAACGTGTACTAGAATTGTACACTTACAATATCTCCTATTATTTAATATTAAATTGTGTTGAAGTTTAAACTTTCTAAAACAACTTCGCATTCGAAATTGATGAGCTTTTATGCAATCTCTTATGTATTGCATATATTAAATTAAGTTAAAGTTAATACCGATCGATGTCAATTGGGTCAGTCCAATTTAGTGGTTTAGACTTATCATTTTTGACAAATTATGTTGTGAAAATGTGTCCACCATGCAAGGTGGACACGTTCCCAAAACGGCGTAATTTTCAGGAAAAACGACGTTGTTCTAAGTTTAAAAAAATTATTTTGAAATTTGTTTTTCACTTACCGTTAATGGCGTTTCTCTCTAAGCAATCGCACATTTTAGAAATTATGAATCTATTGTAGTTAAATTATGAATCTACAATATAGAAATTATGAATCTACAGTATTAGGTTTGTGAACATGTGATAGAGCTATGTGTTAATAGTTTTATAAATATATGTTCATAATTATAGAGCAATATGTTCATAATTTTCGATGTTCATATTCCCAATTGTTGAACTCTGTATTCACAAATCACAGAACTATATGTTCATAATTTGATAACTATACAGTTTAGAAATTATGAATCTACAGTACAGAAATTATGAATCTACAGTGCAGATATTATGAATCTGCAGTATTGAAATTATGAATATACTGTATAGAAATTATGAATCTACTATATTTAAATTTTGAATCTACAGTTTAGAAATTATGAATCTACAGTAAAGATTTTATGAACTACAGTATAGAAATTATGAAGGATAACGGTGCCACTAATGGCACAATTACTCAACCACATGAAAACGGTGTCGTTTGGAACCGTGTCCACCTTGCAAAGTGGGCACGATTCCGCAGCATAACGCTCCATCATTTTTTTGGTCGAGTTAAATTTTTTTTTTTTATCATAATCTTAAAACCTTATACTTTTGGTACTTATAAGACGAGTTCAATTAATATTTGTACATTTTAAAATTAACATTCTGTTGAAAGAATATTTAGAATAGACAGAAAGTGGGGAGGATAAGCCAGGATCTTCTCATTCATCATCTAGAATTCTTATACAAAAGTATCCCTATATACAAGGTAATAATGAATACATATAAAAGGGAGTAACCTAATCAGTTACAACTGTTACCATGTATATAATAATGTCCACAATAATCATATTTATAACACTCCCCTTTGGAAATTATTTGACATGATCCTGTAAAAACTTGCTAGGAAAACCGTATGGGAAAAACCTATACAAAAGGAGTATAAAATATAAATTTATTCATACCTCGTTAAAAACTTCACTAGGAAAACAACGTGGGAAAAACCTTGTTGAAGAAAAGAGTACATGATATTTGTAAGAACATATATTATACTAATTGCCTCATTAAAAACCTTAACTTAAGAAAACCCTATGGGAAAAACTTAGTTAAGGGAAAACGAGTACAACCATAAGCATTCAGGGCACAATCGGCATAATCTTCAGGATTTTGGGTTTGTCTACTTAAGCAATTATTTGGTAACTTTTCCCCATTTACATTACTATATCATACTCATGCCTCGTTAAAACCCTCACTAGAAAATCCAGTGGGAAAAAAATCAAGTTGAAGAAAAGAGTACATGATGTATGTGTATTCTTGTTTTAGATTAGCTGTCTCATTAAAAACCTTAGATTTAAAAAAAAAAAAAAAAAACCCGTGAGGAAAAATTTAACTAAGGAAAAGAGTACATCTGTTACTCTTCAAGACACAATCTTCAGGATTGATTCATGCAAAATGATACTCCCCCTCAAGATAACAATCTTTAAGTTCCATACATTAAATTTCAAAAATGTATAGAGGAATTTTGTACATACACATGTACAACTGTCAATGGAATAAATATACTCTATAATAATCTCGTGACTCTTCGAGAGTTCACGTGGTATAATATTGACATCATAATATCTAGTCAAAAAGATTTCATTATATATCATTTTATCGTTTGTGCAACACAATCTTTATTGACTCTTTATGGGACAATGTGGGTAAATATAGTACAACTAGTTTTGGAACTTGGCATTATGGGGATACAAAAATAATAGCCAGTACCCAAGTAGCCCATTGTATATTGGCTAGTCTAAGTATCCAATCAAAAATCATATATTGGCTAACTGGTGTAAAAAAATTTCTTCAAGGAAAAACTCGATCTTCAAGTAGAGATAATACTTATCTTTCCCAAGCATTAAAAAAATATTCATCTTTAGACATGAACTGATATCATCAAGCTATTTAGATATTTCATTGATGTTTACACTATCAATATTCACTGAGATAATAAATAATAAATACGTTCATTACCTACCCTTTATCGAACACGTAATGGTACATATTATTCCTTCTTAATGAGGATAATAACTCCATTCGCAACTCTTCAAAGAGTAAACAATGACACATAAATACATATTCCTTCTTCGAGAGGAAAAATACTCAACCAATTCTTAATTATTTCATGTCATATAAAGACCTTAATATTTTAATGTTGCGATTTTCACTTTTTCACATTTTGAGAACTTAAAATCCTTCGGGTACTTTTGAAATTAATATTAGTTGCATATCAAAGTTTATTATTCTGCCAATAATATTATGTAGCGAAACTTAATGTCATTTACCGTGGGAGAGTATATTTGATTAGAATCAATCAAGGGTATTTGCCTGAATCCTTAGGCTACAAACTCGCTTCATATCATATCACCTTGTTATTCTTATGCCTCTTTCGTGCACACACCAATTTGTAACCTTCGGGGTTAACACTAGGTGCTGTATTGTTATAAAGAGAATTATTCATTTTAGCGAGTCGAGTTATGCCTTGCTTGCTCTTTTATACATTATGGCATTTCCTGTGCCTAACTCTGGATCCAGATTAATAACGGAGCAATTTGTAAAGGCAATTGTGTTGTCGACAACTATAATACTTTCATAAATCTCTCCCATATTTATAATTGTTCATGGCAATATTTAAGTGAACCAGATTCTAGACATTTCCTAGAACTATTCAGATCACACATGGTTGTCCCGCATCCCTAATATTATGTTTGTTTGGTGCACCTATGAATTGACTAGGGTTTCTCGTCATCTGGACGAGCATCTCCAGGACTAAATTATTCAAGCTTTTCCAAGAGTGACAATGTTTATTTACTAGATCTAGTATTATGATTCTTATCTCTTTTCACCGATAGATCTCCTACACTTCTAGTGTCAAGGAGTATCGGTAGATATATTTGGTCCAAGTTGGAAAATGTATATGGACCTAGTCACTCTTTTATGATCACTACGATCAATAGATATGTTTGGCAGATTTTTGCTAAAGTCGCAAATATTTAGATTATCTTTTGAACTTCTAGTTCAGTCTAACTAGTACGTGGATTTCTTAACTAATGAAGATCTTTCCATTGCATAGAACTTCTTGACATTTCATTAAATTTGGGTTCATCTCCCGTTAATGCCGTGAAATGATCTTCATGATGCATGTATGTAGTCAACGTATCTATTGATCCCCTATAATGGGCTCTAGGTATTTAAACAATAGACGGAGGTTTATAGCCCATAGAGATAGGCGTGAGGTGGTGATACAATAAAATGGACTACATACTAAGACTAGAAACGCAGATCGGGAAATGTGTAATTCTGCCACGTACAATGTGTATGGGGAAATAATTACGATATGCAGTGAGTCAGATTTGAATAAATACAAATATCTCCAAAAATAAATAATTTGGTAATTTCTCATACACACATGCTTTATAATTTACTCATATATGGGTAAGAAATTCCAATATCTGACTCATTATGTTTGCCCTAAGTGACCCAATTGTTCATGCCATAATTTAAAGGAATTTGGGTCTTTACAATTTGAAAAAAAAAAATATCGCAACATATGGAGTACTCATAAGTATATGCACATATATGTCCAAATAGAGAAAGCATACATATTAACTAAATGAGATTATACGAGTACGCAACCATCTTAAATAGGTTAAACGTCAAATAGATGTATAGATGGTGAGACCATTCAGGATCTCAAAAATTCATAAACATATGAAAATTCATCATCAAATATATACAACTAATTTGCTGGTTATCCCGAAATTCTCCCCCACAAAGAGAACTCATTTGCCACTTGAGCTACCCTATTGTCTTATATCATGTATTACGTTGTGACATGATCATAAAATATTTTGGATTGAATAACATATTTTCTAGTCAAGTTGATTATATTAAGCAAGATAGTCTTGGCGGGGCTTGAACCCGCGACTTTCAACTCATAAGACCAACACTCTAACCAACTGAGCTATAAGACCATTTACTTTTATTTTGAAGAGTCAAAAACAACACTTTTCCAAGTAAGCTCTCATTTTTAATAGTTTCATAAAGCATCAAAACAACACAAAATAGTAAGATATACAAGCTGAAAAACCGGCAAAAATTTTCAGAATTTTTTTGGACCTAGATTGCATAATTTTCTAGGGGAAAAAAGATAACACATTTTGACACAAAAAAATTGGACATAGATTGTGCACAAAAAATTTCAAGCCAATCCAAAGTCTAGAAGTATTTTTCTTGAAATTTTTCCCAACACTGCGCCAGACAGAAAAATAACTGGCGGCACACTACCAAAACTTTACAAAATTTTTCTGGAACAACCAAAGCATGTTTTTAATAAAATCTTTTTAAAGACATCAAATTCCACAAGTCTAGGTTCTCCAGAAAATATTTCAGGCCAAAAGGAGTTCAAAAAGTATTTTTCACAAATTTAATTTTCAAGCTGCACCGATCAGAATTTTCAGGCATGCATCAAATTTTATGCAAATAAATATAACACTCAAGAGGTGTATTATAACCAAGTACTTATAAAAATTTTGTAGGCAAACAACATAAAGCATTAGGCATGTATGGAAGCCATTGAAACTTGTCAACTTGAGTAGTACTACATATATTATGCATATTCCAAAAAAAAAAAATCACATTCATTAAATAGTAATAATATCTCATGAATGTATTAAAGATTAAATGTGAGTACTTAGCTCTTTACTGAAGGCCAGTTTGATGAGTCCGTAAGCCACATGGAGAGCTCATTAAATCCACATGGAGAGCTCATGAAAAAATCGACCGTTTGGCGAATGTATTATTATCGGTGGATTACTAGCCCGACGGCAACTACGCCAGCAAAAGCTACTTGAAGAAATCAATCTTTTCAAACCACTTCATCACCAAACAACACCGCAAACAAGTCCCAGATTTCCTTTCTCTTTTACTCCATAGACCCCACCAAAAACCTTAACCAAACTGTGGCTTAGAGCGAAATCTCCGACGCCGTATCCCATGTGGCCTAGAATTAAATGACCTCACGTATGCTTTTGAATTTGAAGAAAGTAGGACCTCTACTCTTGTGACCGATAAGTGCATAGACAAAGCCAACAAATTTGAGTAAAGTGGCAGACACTTCACGTTAACTATGCAAAAGAGAAGGGTGACATTATTCTCCAAATATAATCTACTAACAGCAAATTAGCAATCAACAAAGCTTTCAATGAAAATGTGCATTACTAAACGACTATGTGTGTTACTCAAAATAAGTTAGCTGGTTAGATTGTTTAATGCAAGCTTGCTAAAAATTGTCAACAACATTCAAGTCTCAATAGTAAGATAAATATTTCTAGATGACGAAATTAAATGAAAATGTGTGTTAAAAAAAAAAAAAAAAAAAAAAAAAAAAAAAAAAACCTTAATGTTAAGACTTCTCAATACAAACTTGCGAAAAATGGTCAACAACATTCAAGGCTCAATCGTAGAATAAATATTTTGAAACAAGAAAACTAAATGACTTTGTGCATTACTAAATGACTAAGTGCACTACTAATGGAGTTAAATTTAGACTTTCTAATACAAGCTTGCGATAAGTGGTTAACACACATAGTCGTTTAGTATTTATCCAACTATTGAGTGTTGAATGTCATTGACAATTTTATGCAAGCTTGTACTACAAAGTATGAACTTTAACTTAATTAGTAATACGCATGGACATTAAATTTGGACAATTAGATTTATTTATCCTAGGGTTGAGTCGTGAATGTTGTTTATAGCAATTTTTAGATAGACGGTAATAAAAAGTCAAAACTTTTACCTTAATTTAGTAACACTTATAATCATTTAATTTTGTGTTATAGATGTGAAAATTTGAGCTTCAGTAGTTTATTCATCGTAAACTAATGAGTTCAAATAACATATAGAGCCAAGAGAAAGAAGGAATAGTTACACCTGTACCATAAGACTAGAAAAATACAAATAATATGTCAGCCCGGGATGTGGGGGCCCTTAGGGTTGGGGATTCAGCCTTTTGATAGAAGAAAAATACAAATAAATACAAACTAAGCAAAAATAAGGACTTGATCGACTAAATCTTAACACTAGAAATATAGAGAAGAAAAAGAAATGAGCGGTGTGTGGTACTAAATGGCTATGTGCCTTAAATGACTATGTGCCTTACTAATTAAGTTAATTTATTAAAAATTAATATGTCATTAAGTAATCAATTACTCTTGATGGATATATTGGAAATGGCCCAATAATAATAGAGACCCAGGTTCGGGAATGTATAACCCGAGCAGCCCAAGAAGAGTCTCAAGCCCGGAGCTTACCTCCGGGCCTAAAATGATGGGCCTTGACTTAGTCTCACGGCCCACCACATGGGCTTGGATTTAGTCCCGTGGCCCTCCACGAATTTAGCAGTAATTGGTGGGAATTTCCTTTGCATAAATAGCCTAGTAATTGTCTTGTCAAGGACATGTTCTACCTTGTGTCCTAAACACTTATGTTGCATTGTTTTTACATGTTCATATCGCTGTAATAGCACTTTCATACACAATTAATACAATATCAGTCCCGTGACTATATTCGTACCCTTATTATCGTTCAATTATATACTTGTTACATTTATTCGGGTTAATTAATCCAGACCTCCCGGTTTAATTAATTCCATCATTGGTGCTCTTGTTGAGAGCTGTTGTACAAGCTCGAGCGTGCTTTCTACTTTTGGTCTAACAAGACTATCGCGATCAACTATTGTGGCGAGATCAAGATCCAACTCTTGCAACACGAATGGTTCCCGTGACACGCGAGTCGTCCCAACCAAAAACGGCCTCAACGGGACCCCAAACCACATCACAAATCCCAAAAGCGCAAATGATCCCGATCCAGGTCTACAACATGAGAGTGATGGTAAAATCGCATAACAGCTTTCGCAGGTCATCTACTTCCCCACCGGTCTCGATCCCATCCCATGGGTGTATTGATGAAGTGAGAAGAAGCTGAGAAGAAGAGAAGAAGCCTCCAAATATCTCAACACTAGTCAACAAGTCAATAAGGACTTTTTAGTCTTTTCCTTAGAAAAGTTAGTTATAACCGTTTTCTTTGTTTTGTGTATAAAAGCTGTTACTCTGTTGCTTTCCGGAAAAATGCTAGAAGACTCCATTGTATCATCTTCTTCTTTTCAGTGTAACCCTAGCAATCAAACAACAAAGCTTACCAGTTTTCCCTTCATGAATTGAAGCACTCCATCATGGTATCAGAGCTACATCGCAGCTATGCCGCAGCGGTAATGGCGGAAGACGGTGTAGGAAACTTCGCCGGACGACAAGAAGCAGGCTCATCCAATCAGAACTCAGCGAGCTTGAATCCTACTCAGCGTCCGGATGAAGCAGAAGATCCTATGTACTTGCACATAACCGAGAATCCTAATCTGGTTCTCGTATCTCCACCGCTATCCGAGATCAACTATGCATCCTGGAGCCGATCGATGAAAATAGCGCTTGAAGTCAAGAATAAATATGGTTTTGTGGATGGGAGCATCATGAAACCAGCAAAAACTGATCCTCGATATTCAATTTGGAGAAGATGCAACAATATTGTTTGTTCGTGGATATACAAGTCCCTTAGCCCTGCGATTGCAGAAGGTGTTCTCTACCTTGAAGTGGCCGCAGATATTTGGAATGTCCTCAAGAAAAGATACTCCCAAGTTGATCCTCACAGAATCGCAGAGGTGCAGAACGAAATCTACAGATGCTCACAAGGTAATCTGTCCATTAACGAATACTTTACTAAGAGCAATGCTCTATGGGTTCAATTGAATGACATGCGCCCTATACCTGCATGTGAATGCACTCCTAAGTGTTCCTGTACTCTTGTGAGCAAGATTCGAAAAGAAAAAGAGGAGGATCAGATTATCAGGTTCTTGGAGGGCCTGAATGAAGAATATGAGAACATAAAATCCGGAATTCTTGTGATGGATCCTTTGCCAGTCATTGATAAAGTGTTGAATATGACCCTAAAAATGGAAAGGAAACTCAAGAATTCTGTCAACATTAAGTACAATGAGTTAGCTCAATCTAATGCTGTACAGAATGACCAACAGAATTGCACAGAAGAACAGCTCATGGTAGCAGTTTCCACTTCAAGTAACAAAAAGAAATTCAACAATGGATCAGGCAGAAATGTGCCTAAATGCACCTTTTGTGGCATGCTAGGCCACACAATTGAGAAATGTTATAAGAAGCATGGGTACCCAGCTGGTTGGATTGCAGGCTACAAGTCCAAGAATAGGCAAAGTCAGGACAATCATCAGAACTTTAGTCCCTCTGCAAATCAAATTGGTGATGTAGGGCTCTTTGCTGAGCAATTTCAGAAACTTCTGAGCCTTCTGCAAACTCAGAATCAAATTGGCCATGCATCAACTAGTGCCACAGTAGCAGTAAATGATTCTGGACTCAGATCAGACTTCAGGACCTCACAAGAGAACAATGAAGGCAGGTCAACTTCTAACTCTTATGTTAATACTGTCCTAAACTCTCCTAATGTGTGGATCCTAGACTCAGGTGCAACAGACCATATTGTGTGTTCCTTGGATTATTTTGATAGCTTTCATACTGTCTATGGAGTTTTGGTTAAACTGCCAAATGGTGAATCAGTGAGTGTCACACACATAGGTGATATCAATTTACAGATGGATTTAATCTTGAAGAATGTGTTGTTTATCCCATCTTTCACATTTAATATCATTTCTGCAAGTAAATTGACAAGGCATTCTAGCTATGAGATTGTTGTGAGGGCTGACTCTTGTACCCTTCAGGGGCAACTTGGGATAATGGATGGTTTTGCTAGTGAAAAGAATGGCCTGTATCTGATCAACAACCCCCCCATCAAGAAAAGAAGATTTCCTTCCAGTGATGCTGTTGTGAACTCTTCTTGTAATAGCTTCTCCTTAGATGTATGGCATAATAGGCTTGGCCATTATCCTGTAAGCAAA